AGAACTGATGAGAGAAAGAGCCGATATCTCACTTTGTTGAGATATCCACTTCAGATTCTTGTTTCCTTGGTGATACAGGAATTCTTACGATCTAATCTCTTGTTGTGCACCTTGCGCACTGGAGGTGCTGCCGAAATTTCCGCTGCGCACAACAGAGTCACATACTGGTATTAATATTGTAAATTTAATAATTGAAGAACTTTTAAAATTAAAAATTTCAGAAAGAATATTTTCTCTTTCACTAGATAATACAAGTAATAATAATGTAGTTGTTAATTTTATCAAACAATCTCTATCATTGCCATGTCATGGTGATCTTTTTCATATTAAACGTATCTGTCATATTTTAAATTTAATTGTTCAAAGTGCATTTACTAAAATTAAACACATCATAGAAAAGATTAGGACGGTAACTTATATGCATAATGCTTCTGAACAAAGAATTAGAAGATGTAAATAATTCTGTAAAAGAAAAAATGTAAACCTCAGACTGATTCTAAAAGATGTTAAGTGTAGCAATAGAATATAAAGAAATTATAAATTATTTTATTGATTTTTATGCTTCTAGTTCTAGCTCTTGTAGCATGTATGGAATTACTGAAGATGAATGGACAGTTATAAGTAATTTAAAAGAGATGCTATAAGTTTTTTATGATGCTACAATGTTATTATTTGACTGTTATTATCCAACCATTACTTTAGCTGTTTTACAAATTTTAAATATTTAAAAAATTTAATAAATATTGTATGGATGATTATTTTAAAAGTATGATTTTTCAAATGGAAAGTAAATTTAATAAGTATTTTAGGCATTTTAGGCATTTTAGGCATATTCCTATTATTTTTGGTTTGGGGGTCATTATTGATCGCAATTGAAGGATATTGGCATTCGAAGTTTGTTACATTCCTTGTATAGTGGATAGATAATAGACACTGATGATGGTAGCACCATTACTGCTACTACTCACCATAATACTATTAGAAATTATTTTCAAAGCTTATATGATGAGTATGCAGCTAAATATGGTGTATCCACACAGGAGCCTACAGGTTTCGCTTCTTCGAGCTCAAGTCAGGATAAAAGTGTAAGTTTTGATAGGTATGCATTGGTAGCTGAGCTAACTGGTGGATCTGAACTTTGATCATCATTGGAGGTTTCTAAAATTGATCAATATTTAACTGTTTCTTTAGTTAAATGTCAAATAATAACTTAGATATTTTACGATAGTGGAAAGTATATGGAACAGTTTCATATCCTATACTTTCCATCATGGTTCGTGACTTACTAACAGTGTAGGTTTTGATTGTAGCTTTGGAATCCGCCTTCAACACAGTAGGACGTTTGATCGACGACCACAGGACATCGTTAGATCCCTATACTGTACAGGTGGTGATATGCTTACAAGATTGGTGGAGGTACGAGAAGAAAACGCAAGACATCGATCGGATAGCTGGTATTGAAGATAGATTTGAAGAGTTGAGACTAGCAAATAGATATAAAGAGTAAACAATATTCATCAAATTGTAATTTTTATTTTTTTAGCTGAAATTTTATAATGAATTATTTTAAAAACAGTTACAAATGATAGTGATATAGGTGAGTAGGTGCCAACCTAGTTGGGATGTACTGATCTATTATGATGCGATGAATTTCAAAATAAATTTATACTTGTAAATGATTTACTGATTATTAATAAAGAAGTTATTTTTATCATCTATTATTTTTAAACTTTTTTGTATTTGTAATTTATGTAATTTCAAGTGATTAATAATATTATTGTTTTTTATTAAAATTTTGTGTAATTTTTTATGTATTATTTTAATTATAAAGAGGAATTTTTTTTTGAAAAATAAAAAAAAACAGGTAGGCCCGAACCTAGGCCCGGGCTCCGATTTTGCTTGGCCGGAACCCGGTTTTTCAGGCAGGACCGGATGGACACCCCTAGTTTGGTTGTCCTACACCATTTTCTCTCAAAAGTTCGGTTAACCAAACATAGGGACTAGCTCAAAAACTTAAGACACACCAAATCCAAGAAACTCTCTCCCTATCTTTTTAACTTTTACCTCAACCGAAAGCAAATCTCCCTCCTCTAGTGTGTCAGTGTGTGTGTGAAGAAGATACATACGTTCTCTCCTTCGATAATCGTAAACAAAGCCCACTAGCCCAATGGGAACTAGCTGCGTCCCCTGAGCTCACCTGCCGTAACTTTGCCGGCCCCCTCGGTTATTGCTACCTAATGATCATCGGCCGATGATTGACACTTGGACTTTCGGTTCATAATTCAAGAAAAACAAGTACAAACTTTATTTCTAATTTTGGGTGCAGCCATTGGCGTGTCACTTGGACTTTCGGTTCCTAATTCAAGAAAAGCAAGTACAAACTTTAGTTCTAATTTTGGGTGCAGCCATTGGCGTGCTCAAATGCGCAGCAGCCTTGTTGTCGTTGGCGTGGAAACTCATGTTGCTCACGTGGACTTGGACCAATCGAGAGAGCTGTTCTTTTTGTGGGCTAAAAAATTAATGACATTAATGTTGTTAGAAGTGATTAATTTTGGTGATTAGAGCCTTTTTAGTTTCATATGATGCACGCGCGCGAGGGATATCCTCGATTGGTGGTTATCATGGAAGGATGGAAGCTCGCACGTGCGCTTGTTTGTAGCCCGGGTTTCATTACCAGTTTAGGGATTCCGGATGGGTTTTTTTATTTCCTTTTTCTTTTTGGGTATTTCTTCGCTTGGTGCAACAATTATTGAAAAGTTCTATCTTTTATGTGATTCCCTGAATATTGGTTAATATCTCAAAGAGCGAGCTTTCTTGAGAAGCCCGAACCCTTAATTAGATCGCATCTTTACTGTTGATCAACGATTATTTGACAGATTTGTCAATCCTATCTGGATTCCAGTTTACTTGAAGTTGAGCAGCCAACTAGAGACTCTATTCTGATGTGACTCGTATATATATTGAATTAGAAGATAATTGAGGGCTGTCTAAATGAAGGCCGGCCAAAAACTATAATTAAATTCTCCTACTAAAGAGGCTTGATTCGGGTGTATTGCTCAAATAGAATATGATAAAAGCATATATAAGTGCGGAGACACCTAGGAGGTTCAATGTGTAAGACTAGCAGCTTTGCATTTTCTGTAAAGCTAACAATATATAGTTTGGTTGCATCTACTCAACTTTTTTCGAATTATCTCATATTCCATTAAATAAGCTTATCAAAATGTATGATCTAGTTCGGAAAGAAGAAGAAGAAGAAAATGTCATCGGAAAAATCATCGGATAAATTATCAGTAAGGTGACGTTTCTTAATGATAGCTATTGATCTTGATTAGAATCCTAAGAAAATGTCATATGTCATATTGTTCCATAAATTGATCCCATAAATTTTGGGTCCAGAAAAAGTACAGAAAAGCCTTTACCGGTTAATTTTATAATCTTGTTAGAAGACATTAGGGTTACACTTAGATGATCTCCAGTTAAACTAATGATTTTGTTTAAAAGACATTAGGGTTACACTTACAAGATCTCAAATCCATTTTTAGCTCATAATCCGAAAAAGTCTTGCAATCCTTTGTTGCTAACATCTTTGTTGGCGTGTCCCAATCTTTCTTCTTAATAGATTAACGGCAAGAACTAGCCGTGATCGATGTAGAAGTTATTAACATAGCGATACAGTAAAATAATCCTAACCATGAAAACTACTATCCTGCACGTACACCTTGTAATTACATAATTGATTAATAAATTAATACATTAGCGTTTTCCTTAATATTGCAGCTTTACGTGCAATGAGCCAACAAGCTGGAGGGTAGTGGGTGAGCTAGAAGTAAAACATGCAAATAAATAAATAAATAGTAATATATATATACATATAACATAAAATAATAGTTGAAATGTAAGTCGAAATGATGAAAGTGAGACGGTCTAGATTGGGTAGATCTATACTATAAATGGTAAGATTCCCACGGCTTGCAATTTAATCTTTATCGACTTTTGACTACTACATCCGAGGAGCTCGGTCGGTAACAATAAATATGTGTATAAAAAATTTTCCTTCTTCTTTCTCCTCTCCCACTAGCTATATATTAAAGGGTTAATTGCCATGTTTTCTTTAATTTGTTCTGTTTTGTGCGGACTTGGGGCTCGGTTTCGCTCCGAATCCAGGGACTTTAGACGAGACCATGGCTTTCTCTTCTTCGGTTTTCCTTGGTGCATGCAAGTGCAACAATCAAGAGGAGAAGCTTTTTAGGATTCTGCACGTATCGACTTTTAGGGATTCGGATCCTCTCCACTACAAAAAAAACAGTGGAGGGACCACTACATAATCACAGTCATTGATTATCTAGTTAATGGTTGTGATTTTTTCTTTTAGTGCAAATTAGGAATAAATGCAATACACGGGGGTATGGTAAGTGTTAGATTTAGATTGTAGCATAACCGCCTACTAAATAATCAACGATTGAGATTAAAAACAGTGGTCTCTCCACTACTTTTTTGTAGTGGAGAGGATCTAAATCCGACTTTTAGTTTGCATCTCTGTTGTTGACCAACGGTTGTTCATCATGAAGAAAATTGCAATCTGGCATACTTGTTATAAAATTGATAAATGTATTTAATAAAACATAAAAAAAGGTTTTTAATAATATTACAGCTTCACACCAGGTACGAGGAGATCCGAGCAAATCTCAACTTTCACGTGCCATGGGCTAATTAACTACTGGTTAGCTAGAAATAGAACATGCATCTTTAAATAAATAAATGTGTCTAAAACAAGACAATAACTGGAAGGAAAAAAAAAACAATTAAGTTGAAATAATTGATCCAAGTAATTAAGAGCCGTCTGGATTTAGCTAGATGTAGACTGTATGTGGTGAATGGAGAAGATTCCTAGGACCTAGAATTGAAATGTTTATCTGGTTAGCTGACTTTTGATTGCATCCAAGGGTGATAATGATAACAACATATATTTTGTATTTTCTGCTTTATTTTTTCCTCCATTATCAAGGCAACCACCATGTTTATATCAAGAGAAAAAGATCAGTATCTCATGAAATTTTAATGAAAGAAGATGCTGAGTTTAATGACCGAATATTACGATATTCTCTTTGGAAATAGAAATGACATTTGTGAATTCAAACAACCACAACTGACATGCAGCTTCACTCAAAAGGCTTGAGGGAATTATTGATACTAGTGAATCCCCCATCAATCATCAGATTCTGAGCACTGATATACTTAGCTTCATCGCTCGCCAAGAAGAGCACGGCGTCTGCTACATCCTCCGGCATCAAATCCACACCCTTCAAGTTAGCATTTCGCCCTACAAACGATAAAAAACCCTTTAGAGCATCCTCTCCCTTCTCGTCCTCAGGCAAATGTGGCATTGAGAGACTTGTGGGGACTGCATAAGGCGAAACACAGTTCACGCGTATCCCATGCTTTCCGAGCTCAGCCGCCACGTTCTTGGTGAGCCCCACAACTGCGTGCTTGGAACCCGTGTACCCATGAGGGCCCAAGCCACCTATCACGCTCGCCACGCTGGCTATGGATATTATCGAGCCCTTGCCTTTTGGTATCATGACACGAGCAGCGTGTTTCATACCAAGAAATGCGCCGTTCACATTCACATCAAAGACCTTCTTGAATTCATTGAAGTCGACATTTCTGATGTCTGTCACCTTGTTTCCAGTTATTCCAGCATTGTTGACTATGATATCTATGGTGCCAAAATTTTCCACTGTGAAGTCGACAGCATGTTGGACGTCATCTTCGACTGTGACATTACAGTGTATGAAGCAGGCATAGGATTCACCGCCGAGAGATTCGCAGACATTTTGGCCAAGGTCGTCTTGTATATCAGCAACACAAACCTTTGCTCCGTGGCTCCGAAAGAGGCGAGTAATGCTTTCACCGAGCCCAGAAGCACCACCCGTTATAAGAGCAATCTTACCTTCCAAGCTTTAGATGAAGATGAACATTATTTATAAACTACATAAGATGTATGCTAAAGAATATTCTGGCTTGGAGGGTAACATACATATAATTAGTTTACATAGAAACGACATGGTTTCGTATATCATCCACAAGCTAAAATGTGAATAAAAATATTAATAATCATCTAGTGCATATCAGAAAGACTAAAAAGTTCATGACAGATGTGGGATAATAGAGTTTCAAAAGACCCAGCAAAGCACTGAAAGCTGTGACGAGCGTCGAGGGTTATAATTTTATACTTTCACGTGCCACAAGTTGAGGAGGCTTTCATGGGCTGGAACCTGGCCTCAAGGAGCAATATATTTTTTTAAATTCGCTTTAGAAATTTCTGACTAATAAGAATCAAACCATATTGCTTCGATATAATGTCAAAGGACCCTGCTATTGTATAAAACTCCGAAATTCTGGTGAGGGTTAGCGGTTTATAATTTTATGACCTAACATAGAGAAATGGGATAAATGTTCGATCAGTAAAACATGGGAAGATGATGAGAAAGCAACATGCATGGTTTCGTAATTTGTCAGAACGAAAGAACCAGGATACAGAGGAATCCAACATAAAAAGAACTAAATATTACTGGTTTTTTTTTTGTTAATGCTTACACGTGAAGCAAAAGAAATGCCATAGTACTAATTTTAGAAAAAGAACAGAAGAAACAATGTTTCCTTAAGAGAAAATACATCTTGTCCTAAATTTGGCATATAGTACATGAAGATAAAATTTGATCTGATACTCCTCTCTATTCTTGTAGCTTGTCAAGCGATCTCGTATGCATAAGATAATGGAGAGTGAGGATTGATAATCTTATATGCAGACTATAAAAAAAAATAATAGTATTTACTATTTTTATCATGAATTTATGAAGTATTTAAAGAAAGGATTACATTGGTGGAATAGCCTATGTTGGCTTGAGACATTTAAAGATTGCGGAGCTACAAGCTTAGTATCATTTGGTTATTCTTGCCAGTGGATGAGACCTACTCAGGCGTTCTGATACGTATATTTCGCTCATATGGATACTTTTGTTGATCAGATTATTTATATCAGATATATTCCATAACAACCAGCTACCTATTTATATAGGCCATACCAAGAAATAATCAGCTCATTGCTAAACATTTAAACAAATTGGATAATGTTTGTAGCATCATTGTAATTGTTCCAATAAAAAATAATAATAGAAGAGTTGTGGATTCCTGAATCCAACTAACTCAGGTGAAATATTCTAAATCATGAACGGGGATGTATGGACGAAGCGTTTACATCATGTACGTAATGACTGAATCTGCATGTAAAAATGTTCAGATAATCAAGTAATTTGATATCCTCTCCTCTAGTTCGGACAACAATTTCTTTATAGAATTAATTTCCATGATTATAAAATTTGGGAGGAGTTAAGGACATGGATCCTACCGGTTGGATGTTGTTCCCATTGTCTGAGAATTCAAAATAGAAGACGTATGCCCAAAGCTGCCAGATCACAAGAAATCTCATCGTAAGTTATAAAAGCTACTAGAGAGATAGGATACACACACTCACAAATACATATGGTCTAGATAAGTTTCTTTACTAGAAAATGGAATGATATATACACTCAGAAAAAACCAAAGAGGAAATTCTCAAGTGTTCCTTTTTTTAAATTAGAAAAAAGATGGAAGGTAGGCATTGCTTATTTTATGAATATAATGAAACACTACATAAAACACTATCATTGCAAGGCAACATACCATGAAACTGTAACATGCCATGAAGTCTCACTACACAGGTCAGAAAAGGAAAAGAAAAGCACAGATGGAATTATCTAAACACAATAATAAGCATTAATATAGACTCTTCAAGCTACACTATACTATCAACTCCTTCCTAAGAGTTTCTGAACTGAATTCTTGAATTATTTCATTGTGAAGTGTTTACAAGAAAATTTCCTTCATGTTGATATCAGATGTTGATATAACCAGCACATTTGCTTTCATGTCCTAAGCCTCAGAATCCATGATGAGCTGGACAGGTGCACAAGTTTCCTAGTAAAGATCATTGGAGGCTCTTATAAAGTTTCAGAATAGATTATAAGCATTAACCCTCTCGCATCAGCTGTTAAGCGGATGGATATATAACAATCAAAAATATTTTCCAGCTGTAAATGAAAATCAAACGGAAGGTAAAAATCCCACTGTACCATATATTGGGTATACAAAAGATTGTCTCTGTTACGACATCAACCATTGAAAAGAATTAACCAGTTAGTTTAACATGCTTTCATAACTAAATAGAAACATATATTATACTTTCCATATAATTCTCAAAGACTATTCTAATTAATCCATAAGGAATCAAGGTAAACTTCTACTTGATTGATTAATCAAGCAAGTCATATTCAATAATAGTTCTCCTTGATGTTTTTCAACATCAGCGAGCCAAATAGAAATAAATGAATAGTAAACAATAACTAGACCACAGAGAGAAGCACTGACACAATATTTAACTTCTCATATAAAGACTGCAGGAGTGGTTTAACCATCAATGATCAAAATTAAGCACACTCAAAAATAAATTGGATTATCGTGGGTTTGCAAGCATCAATGATAAAAAAAATTAAAGTAAAATCAAACCCCAATCCTTTTTTTCTTACAAAATAATCTTTTTTTTTTTGTGTCAAAAATCTCAAGATTTATGAAAACTCATGAATTTTCAGTCATAAAATCTCTATAAAGCAATTAAGCAAGTATGTGGTCAGCAAAGTCATAAACAAAAAATAACTTCTAATTTTCTTCAACCACAAGAGCAGTTGAATGCATAGAACATTAAAGTAATCTCATAAAACCCCGGATTGAGTTTCCTTGGATTGAAATGGGTTGTGATAGGAAGAAGATGAGCTGGAGACTCAGCCTTTGTGGCAATAAAAGCTCTGATGTGAAGAGCAAGTGGGAGAGAAAAGAGAGAGTAAGCAATGTGCACCAAACTTTGTTTCAGTGGCAAGTGCATCACACACAGGTAAAAGACAAAGAACTGCCAATCCAAAATGGCATGCTAAATACCAAGGTCGTGGAAAAAGAAAAGCGAAGCAAAGCGGTGAGGCACCGCTCAGGCTTTCAGGGACTTTAGCTGCAAAGAAATGCCAAGTAAAAAATCGGTCTAATTTAAATATGTATAAATATGACAGAGGAGAGGACTACGAGGAGAAAGTGGCTTTGATTGGAGAAGGAGGTGGAGGAGCTTCGACTTAAGATGGTGATGGTGATGGTGAGCTTCGACTAGAGATAGTGATGGTGAGTTTCGATGAGGAGCTCAAGCGAAGGACATGTTGTAATGGTGGCGGAGCTTGCTGAAGAAGGACTTGGAAGCGAATCTGGATGTGGATTTGGTTGCGGGAGGTGTGGTCGAAAGCAGTGGACGAGGCGGCTGATGCGAGAGTTAGGGCTACGTTTATTTTCGTCTCGAGTCGCAAAAGCAAAAAAGGAGAGAGAGAAGCGGAGGGTTTTACTTAATGCCCTATTTGGATGGAGGGTAGAGAGGGGGAGGGGAAGAGAAATGCATCTTTCACCTTGTTTGGGAGTTTTTGTAAGGAGGGTAGAGAAGAGGAAGGAAGGGGAACGGAGGGTAAAATTGCTTGGTTTTTTCCCCCCCCCGATTCGGGCGGTAGAGGAGGGTAAAGGAGGGTAAAGGGATGTAATGATATTCTTACCCCCATCAAAACAAATAAAAGGACTGATGTGTTATTAGTATAAGGTCATTTGTGTAAATTTACATATATTTCCTTCCCTTCCCTTCCCTCCCCTCCATTATTACTCTCAAACAAGTTATATTAATTTCACCTTCATTCACCTTACTCAACTCCCAAACAACATATTACAATTCTCTTCCCTTCTCTTCCCTTCCCTTCCCGTTGTTTACCTTTCCTTCCCTTCTTTAGTAAACTCCCAAACACACCTTAAGAAAATGAGTCAGGTTTGGGTTCGAGCCAGGTTTTGGTTCAGTTCTGGTACAATATAAACCGATATTTATTCTTATTAAAGCGTTGTTATGCGTTTTTCAGGTACAATATAAACTGATATTTGTTCCTATTAAAGCGTTGTTATGCGTTTTTCAGACCTCAGTGTCATATTATTTGAATTAAATAATTGATTAACTATCGGATTAAATTTAAATTAATTTAATTTAAATTTCAATAGCTTAATTAGGGCCTCATTTGCTTAATTAGTTAAATTAAGCATACTGAAATCGGACCCATAACTTAAAAGGGCCCACAAGTTAGGTTTTAATTAAAATATTTAATTAAACCAAGCTTTAAATTTGCCAGGCCCACAAAAAATTGAAACAAGAAGTTTTCAATAATGCTCAGGTCCAGTTGAGGCTGAGTTTTCAATACGTCCAGGCCCACAAAAAATTAAGAAACTTAAGTGGGCTTGTGCCCTTGTTCAACCCTCAATCAGCAGCTTCTTCTTCCACTCGTCGTGAGAGAAAACGACATGCCCCAAATAAAAATGAAGATTTGCCGACTCTCCCCTGCACCGAACACGAACCGAAGCTCCTCAGAGGAGAGGCCGAAGCTCGACCGCAATGAGCACAAGGCTCGCTCAATTTGAAGGTTGAGCTTTGCCTGAAGACGAGCACGAGACTCGTCTGAACTTCCCAAATGAGCCGACGAAGGTCAAGCTTCCAAGCCGAAGCTCAGCCGAAGCTCGACCCTCGAAGAGCTCGCCTGAAGTTCCCTGATGCAGATGAAGCTCGAGTAGATTTGAGGCTCGATTTCGAACCCGATGTTTGCCTGAGATCCGAACGTCGAGCTCGCCTACAACGAGGTTCAAGCTCACTTGAGTTGAACCCGAGGTTCACTGAATTCGAACACGAGGTTCGCTGAAATTCGAATACGAGGTTCGCTGAAATTCGAACACGAGGTTCGTCAGGAGTTAGAACACGAGGTTCAACTGAAGTTCGTCAGAAGCCTTCAACAAGGCTGAATCGAACACGAGGTTCGTCAGAAGCAAACCGAAGTTCGCTGGAATCAAACTGAAGTTCGCCTAAGAACGAATAAGTTCTCAAGCCCTAGTTTTCTTTCACCCGTTAGGGTTCAGAACTGAACCGTCGCCGCTTGAGCTGCAGCCAACGAACACCCCTTAGGGTTTCGTTCTGAAAACCGCCGCCGCCACTGATAGTGGGGCCGCCGTCGATACAACTCCGGCGAGCAGTTGGAGAACAACGAGCCAAAAAAACCTAATTTTCTTTCGATTTTGAACTCAATCTAGATCTAAAACTTGAATCTATTTCAGATCCAAACCTCAAGAATGGAATCAAACCAAAAAGAATTAAACTTTACAGTTCATGAGTCCTATAGATCCAAAAAACCAAAAGAAAATCGAATTTTTTACTGTTCATCCGTGAACAGTTTTGAAAAACGGTAGATTAAGATCAAAAACCCCGATTTTTAGAATCTTAAACCCCTAATAATTAATCACGAATGGCTCTGATACCACTTGTTGTACTTAATCGTGATTAAATCATAGAGATTAAACAACAAGAGCAGAAGCTATACCTGAATCCATTGCTTGGATTTGAGTTAGGGTTTTGATGATCTTCTAATCTTAGGGTTTCTCTCTTATGACTCTCTTTAGATGAGGATAAGAGAATGAGAATGGTAAACCCTAGAATAGGGACCATAACCCCATATATATAGGTGTTGTACATTTGTAATTTGGCCCATCATCAAATTACAATTACAACCTGGTATCTGCACATTTAGCCCATGATTATTTAAATACACATTAACCCAATTGATTGATCACTTTAAGTGGATTATCCTTAAAGATAACAATACACAATGATTAATCATATGTGCTTACAAATAGATTTAATTAGATTTAAATCCAACATTATTATCATGCATTCTCTCGATGATGATTACGATTTTTTTCCAAAACGTCATCCTTTAACACACTGCACTCCCTTCAGGGTTCAATTCTTTAAATCATAACTTTCCCAAGCTACAGGTTCAACTACAGATCGTCCATTGATGATCAAAACTAAGCACATTTAAACTATAGATAAACAATTAAAAAAATCAAACCTATCTTTTTTTTTACCTAGAATCTTCTCTAGATTTATGGGAAAACCCAGATGGACTTTTCAGTCACAAAATCTCTAAGAAGCAATTGAGCAAGCATGTGGTGAGCAGATTCTCATAAACTGAAACAACATCAAGATTACTTCCATAAAAAAATCGGTTGAGTACACATAACAAAGAAAAGATCTAACTAAGACAGACCCAGGTGAATTGCCTTTCCTTGGGTTGATTGAAATGGGTTGTCGTGGGAAGAAGATGAGATCGAGACGCACCTTTTTCCTCAGCGCTGGAAGCTCGTGATGTGAAGTGAGTGAGTGGGTGGGGGAGAGTGAGAGAGAGAGAGAGGAGAAAATGATAATTTTCTCAGCACCGGGCACCCAGATTTTTTTTTTGTTCAAGCTGTCCGTGGCACGGGCATCGCGCGGGTACAGGACAAGCGGTGGAGTTTAGTTCTTAAATCGTAAATGTAAATGGATGATTATGAAATATAACCTTGAGCAAAAATAAATCTAGTTTGCAAAAGCATAGTAATCTTAATTCTCATGTTATGTAATATCGTTGCGAAGTTTTACGCATTTTATCACTAAGATCTCAAGCAAAATATATTTTTGCATTTAAATACATGAAAACATATTAGATATTAAAAAAATTATCAAAGTTTTTCATTATTATCAAATGAGGTAGTATGCTCGTCAATCTGCACTAGTTTATATTTCACCAAAACTTAAGGCCGCGTTTAGATTTCAATGGGGTTAAGGGAAGTTAGATAAACTAGGTGAGAGAAGAGTAGACAAGGGAAGAGAGTTCTCTTCCCCTTAAATACACCACAATTTGGAGTGCGAGCTAATGGAAATTACGGTGAACAACTTCATCTTCTAAATATTCCCAAATAATGTGAATGATTCTCCTAACTTTCCTTCTCTCATATTCCACTCAATCCAAACAAGCCCTAACCGAGTCAAGATTTGCATACTTCTTAAATCTTTTCTGTATTTAGTAAAAAAGATTAGTTAAAAAGGATTGCAATTACGGATTACGGAAGGGGAAAAAAAACTCTTTTTTATACTCAGGGTTGCAATTTTCCGCGTATAATCTCTCTCTCTCTCTCTCTCTCTCTCTCTCTGTGCAAAGATGCAGTGCTTGACGAGGCTAACCATTTTCCTCTGCTGCGCATGGATCCTCACTCTCCTCTACGGCGAGATGATCGCTTACTGGATCCCTCTTTGGGCCTGCTCTTGGCCCAAACCCCCTTCTAACCCCTCGGTAATTTCCAAACCCAAATTCCCCAATTCACCAAAAACCTCACATTTGTGCGACCAATTAATAATCTTGCTCACTGCAGAGTGTTGAAGACCAAGTGAAGGTTGCTTTCATAGCTGATCCCCAGGTCAATTTCTGATGTTTTTTATGTAAATAGTATAATATTTCGGGTATTTACATATAGGGTTTCTAAAAAGTTTAAATTTTGAACCTTTTTTTTTGTTTTGTTGTGGTAGCTCATGGAGAGGACTTCTCTGGGGCTTGATCCCGAGTCCTTTGCATTGGGAGCTGCACAATTCTTTTCGGATATTTACATGAGGAGGTCTTTTGTTATGTCGATAATGCCGTTTAAGCCGGATGTGATTGTGTTCCTCGGAGATCAGTTCGATGGGGGACCGGCATTGACCGATCAAGAGTAAGGCATGATTATATTTCACTCTTAGATTTCTGTTTGAATAGAGAATTTGATGGTGATAGCGAGTTGCTTACATTTAGAATAATGGTTAAATTGGCAAGACCATTTTCAAGAGTTGCGGAAAGTTAATCACTGTTATCCAGTCTAATAAGATCACAAATTACTAAAAAGTTTAAAAACTCTGCATAAAAAGATAGAATAATGCATCTTAATGATGCTTTTGTAGTAGAATTGCTCGTCTCGGAGCCTAATCTTGGCCTTAGAGAAGAAAGTACTCCATAAATGTCATCCAGCTGTTCAACTGTTCAAGTCCAAATTTTATTTGGTTTTCTTAAGAAACAATGGTAGCTTTCGTAGAAGGTGCTCGTGGAACATACTATAATCATTCAGAAAAATCGCTGTTTATTCTATGCCAGGTTCTTGTGATGTCTAGAGTAGCATCACATATTGCTTTAATGTAAATGGCAACCACGCTTGTGATCTGTAGGCCTTTCTTATGAAATATACCTCACATGTTGTAGTATACACAACTATTAAAATCACCTCATGCTACACTTATTAGCATATCATGCCATTGATCTAAATTTTCGGCATTTTAAAAAATATTGTTCGACTTGTTATGTTTTTAATCGGACTTTGTTTCATCCTTATTTGTCACGACCCCAACTTCCGAACCTAAAAGGAATATTGGAGCCGGACTAAACTTGTGAAAAATCTTCCAAAAATATACATTCATTGAAAGACCATCAAAATAATCTCTTCATTGAACTTAAACCAACAATAAATATTCTCTATGATTCACAAAAATCAACATTAGTCCAATTAACTTGATATAAACAAATATTCCTCAATTTGAAATAAAACTCAACCTAAAAGAAAGAAATCTCATAATTACAAAACTCTCAATTCATCAATTAAACATCAAGGACTTTATTTAACCTTCACCTAGAAGATAATAACAATTTTGAATTTTATTCATTGCTCTGTTCTAAGAATTCGAAAAAATCATCAATTCCACCTAATCCCGAGTCTCTGAAAAGAATGAAAACAACACAATGAGTTCACAACTCAATAACTAGATAAATTCATACATTGAACACTGGTTTTGCAAGACTAAAATAAATTGACTTGATAAGCAAAATACTAAAATAGTAAAAAAATATGATGCAACATTTTTAAAATATATATACATGCACTGGAAATAAGCATGTCACGTCTCAATGCGGTCAACACTTCGATACTCCGGTTGACTTGGCAAATCCCACTATTATATAGCCCGTGGTCGGGACGGTGAGACCCAAACTTGGGCTCTTAGCGCTAAAATAAAAACCTCAAAGAGGCACATTGACCCCTATTTAGATGACTTACTTATCCTCAACATATATCGGTATATTGATCTGAGATGCATATACTTAAAGAAAATTAAACATAGTTTGTAAAACTAGATGCGTTATACAAAAATGCCAAAGGCTAATCAATAGTGAAATAAATCAATCACATATGCATCTCAATCTACTACTATATGAAAAGACATAACAATTGACAAAGAAAATAAGCATAGGCTTATACCAAATAACTACGTGCATTCACCCAATCAGCAATTAGTATGCGAACAACCATACAAAAGGGTATAATCCATCAAAACAAACTTACATATAAATTAAAATTACGCAACGAATAATGTACAAATTCACCACTTACAAGCTTAATGGCCACATCCTCATTAGTCTGGACAATAGTACCTGATAGGAAAGAACCCAAAAAAAATTTAAAAAACATAAAATTCAAAGTCATCAAAATCTCATCTTTTTCGATGATAACTGACCTAAATAGATCTCCCCAAACGATCTGCTGTCGATCTTCCGACCGAGCCGGAACTTATTCCCCACGCGAGGCTCCGTCAACTAGAAAACCCTAACCCATTGCCCTAACAAGATACCCCTCTTTCCCTAACTCAGTTATAAATAGATCGGCCCACATTTAGAAATCAATGAAAGAAAGAGGGGTTCTGGTGCAAAGGAGAGATTTTTGAATCTAGGGTTTTAATAAAGATGGGATTTTTAGACGAGGGAAGACTTTGATCCAATCGAGTCTATATGCTAGCATGACTTTTCTCTCTGTCTTTATCTTCCTTTTTTTACACTTTCTCTCTCTAGATCTCTCTCTCTCTGATTTTTTTTAATGTGTCTTATGAAAACACGATGCTAGGGTTTCCTACCTTTCTTTTATAAGGGCTTCCATTTACCACAAACTCCTTAACAAATTTCCATTTGCACCGAGCCCTTTAACAAACATCAATTTCCAATAACCTCTAACATAATTATATTAGATAACTTTCTTCTTACGTAAACGTCCTTTATAGCCTAATATTCATAATTAATATAACAAAACAAATAGCTCGTATAATTATTGAAGAAATTTGTAAAATGTAATACTTATAATCAAGTGAAATTCGGGTTATTACATGTTACCCCTCTTAACAAAAGTTTCGTCCTCAAAACTTCAACACGCTTGCGGGTCGATCATGTCATTTGGAAATTTTTCTTAACCCGCTCAAATGATTTATGATCATACACATTGCTATAATTACCATCAATACTCACTTAAATCTCTCTTAACCCGCTCAAATGATTTATGATCATACACATTGCTATAATTACCATCAATACTCACTTAAATCTCCTCCTATGACTTAACAATTATACCTTCCATACACATTGCTATAATTACCATCAATACTCACTTAAATCTCCTCCTATGACTTAACAATTATACCTTCTAACATTGGTCATTCAATTGTTTGCATGAATACTAAAATAATTTATAAAATTAGGCTTGTTAGCCATAAAACACTAGAAATGTTACATTACCCTCAAAAGAAGTTTTGTCCTCAAAACTTGAATATATGTAGGTCCTCAAATAGACACAAATATTTCTCTTCATCACATTTTTGTTCTTCTAAACTATTTCTTCGACTAAAAAAATTATTTTTGTACTTTTATAAAACCCACTTTTTATAGAACCTACGATAATTTTTCTCTCATTTTCATACAAACATCAAATGAGGCTAAAGTAATCCAACAAACTTCTAATGCTCAATCTTCACTTGATAGCATGTTAAATATTAGTCTATAAACTTCACAATTCATGTTTCTTGTTATGCTATTAAGATGATTCTCACAAGTCTATACATTCGTGTACTTCCTAAATAGAAATGTATAAACAAAAGATTGACTTCTAAATTTCTATCCTTAGCTTCGGACCATTCAGGGCACATAGGCTATTTTGAATTTAAACTCACCAATGTGAACAACAAAGTATTTACCATGAACCTTTTTCTAACATTGTTTCTACCTTCGGTTAATTTTCCACTGTCAATATCACAACCATGTATTGTCACAATCCTTTCGATCAAGGTAATCTGAATCCTAAAATAAGCAAACATCATTGCAGATTCGTAAATCTAAATATCAAAAACTAGCATATTTAAGTCCTCCAATATATCTTTCTTCTTAGTGATAAAAATATAAATACTAGTATTTGCCTTTGTACTCAAGAACTCTACCATTACATTCCTCCAACTGAGGTGATAATCGATATTGAAATCATAACATTTCATCACTTTGGACTATTTTTCTTCTCGTACAACGTCTCCTTCATGGTAAAAATAATTCACAAGACACTAATGATCAGTATAAGTATCATCTAGTCTGCAATTCATATGAGTTAATCTCTCAAGATCCATATGCTGCCATATTCATATTTTGTAAAGAATAATTTAAAGATCAACATATGAAAATTATTGTATACTAATAAAATCCAGTGATAATGAAATAAGTGCATAAACAAACCAGTCCTTTCACAACAAGCATTCTTGCGCTTCTCACTCTACTTAGAATAAATCACCTATTCAATGTACGTCAAAATCAATTGAAAGCTATTATCAAAGTCATAACTTAATAAGTTTTCACTATGTGCTACATGATTATGGAGGAGAAAAAAATGGTACAGCTTAATACATTTTCAGCATCTACACCATAAATCTAAGTGGGCTGGCGACAAAATTCTTACACTAGAATAATGCATCGTGTACAGTAGTAGGAAACACTCTCCAACCAAACTTCACATTCCAATTAAAATTATATCTTATATCATTGGGACTTCTGATTGTGGTCAGATCATACCTTTGCTACACCACTTTGACATTTCCACGTAAGTCACTTCCCCATGTAAATTCAAATCTAGTTCCAAATCTATTGATAATCAGAAAATTCCCTCACGATTGTCGACTGATGCTACCCAAGCTTAACTCTAAATCAAAACTAATAGGAAATCTACCAAACAATTCTAGAGATCTATTCTTCCCAGATATAACTTGCATCAGATTTGAAATATCAAATAATCTTTCAATCAAATAAATTGTCACGCCATTCATGATCATGATTCATAATAAACCTTTCAGTTTCATTTCTACATATCAAAGTTCAATAACATCTTCATACCACTAATTCATCTTCAAACTCAATTCAAATCTTCTCTAACTTATCTTCAAAAACTATTAGGATCTACAGCCTAAACTCTGATACCAATCTGTCATGACCCCAACTTTCGAACCTAAAAGAAATATTGGAGCCGGACTAAACTTGTAAAAAATCTTCCAAAAATATACATTCATTAGAAGACCATCAAAATAATCTCTTCATTGAACTTAAACCAACAATAAATATTCTCTATAATTCCCAAAAATCAATATTAGTCCAATTAACTTGATATAAACAAATATTCCTCAATTTGAAATAAAACTCAACCTAAAAGAAAGAAATCTCATAATTACAAAACTCTCAATTCATCAATTAAACATCAAAGACTTTATTTAACCTTCACCTAAAAGATAATAACAATTCTGAATTTTATTCCTTGCTCCGTTCTAAGAATTCGAAAAAAATCATCAATTCCATCTAATCCCGAGTCTCTGAAAAGAATGAAAACAACACAATGAGTTCACAACTCAATAACTAGATAAATTCATACATTGAACACTGATTTTGCAAGACTAAAATAAATTGACTTGATAAGCAAAATATTAAAATAGTAAAAAATTATGATGCAACATTTTAAAAATATATATACATATAATGGAAATAAGCAGATCACGTCTCAATACAGTCAACACTTCGATACTCCGGTTGACTTGGTAAATTCCACTATTATATAGCCTGTGGTCGAGACGGTGAGACCCAAACTTGGGCTCTTAGCGCTAAAATAAAAACCTTATAGAGGCACATTGAGCCCTATTTAGATGACTTATTTATCCTCAACATATACCGGTATATTGACCTGAGATGCATATACTTAAAGAAAATTAAACATAGTTTGTAAAACTAGATGCGTTATACAAAATGCCAAAGGCCAACCAATAGTGAAATAAATCAACCACATATACATCTCAATCTACTACTATATGAAGACATAACAATTGACAAAGAAAATAAGCATAGGCTTATACCAAATAACCACGTGCATTCACCCAATCAACAATTAGTATGCGAACAACCATACAAAAGGGTATAATCCATCAGAACAAACTTACATATAGACAATGTAATTTTATATAAAAATACGTAGCGAATAATGTACAAATTCACCACTTACAAGCTTAATGGCCACATCCTCATTAGTCTGGACATTAGAACCTGATAGGAAAGAACCCAAAAAAAAAAAATTAAAAAACATAAAATTCAAAGTCATCAAAATCTCATCTTTTTCGATGATAATTGACCTAAATAGATCTCCCCAAACGATCCGTGTGATCTTACGACGGACGGCGGACTATTCCAGCGAGCTCATCACGGAACGCCTATTTATTTGCTTATAATAAGATATCACTCTTCCCTGAACTGTATAATAGAATCGGCCCACATTTAGAAATCAATGAAAGAAAGAGGGATTCTGGTGCAAAGGAGAGATTTTTGAGTCTAGGGTTTTTAATAAAGATGGGATTTTTAGATGAGGGAAGACTTTGATCCAATCGAGTCTATGCTAGCATGACTTCTCTCTCTCTCTCTCTCTCTCTCTCTCTCTCTCTCTCTTTGTCCTTTATCTTCCTTTTTTGCACTTTCTCTCTCTAGATCTCTCTCTCTCTCTCTCTGATTTTGTTAGGATCCAAGCAACTTGAGGAACCCACCCTTAAAAGCTAACTGTTAAGGAGGAAGAACCAAGTCATTTAAATACCCCATCAAGCTTTCCATTTTACTCGATGTGGGACTTAGGCATCCCATACTATCCAAGTCCCTAACATAGCACCACCCCTGAGAGCCGACGTCCCGGCGGCTGCACTCTATGACGCTTCACTCGGCGTTGCTTTACTAGGCCTTTTCGGTCAGCTCCTACGCAGGTCAGCCCCTCCACAGGTAGCCCTTTTCGTGACGTCGACAACCAGCTCTGATACCAATTGTTAGGATCCAAGCAACTTGGGGAACCCACCCTTAAAAGCTAGCTATTAAGGGGGAAGAACCAAGTCACTTAAATACCTCATCAAGCTTCCCATTTTACTCGATGTGGGACTTAGGCATCCCATACTACCCAAGTCCCTAACAGATTTTCTTTTTTTTTAATGTGTCTTATGAAAACACGATGCTAGTGTTTCCTACCTTTCTTTTGTAAGGGCTTCTCTTTACCACAAACTCCTTAACAAAATTTCATTTCAACCGAGCTCCTTAACAAACATCAATTTCCAATAACCTCTAACATAATTATATTAGATAACTTTTTTCTTACATAAAGGTCCTTTATAGCCTAATATTCATAATTAATATAACTAAACAAATAGCTCGTATAATTATTGAAGAAATTTGTAAAATGTAATACTTATAATCAAGTGAAAATTCAGGTTATTACCTGCTACCCCTCTTAACAAAAGTTTTGTCCTCAAAACTTGAACATGCTTGCGGGTCGATCGTGTCATTTGAAATTTTCCTTAACCCGCTCAAATGATTTATGATCATACACATTGCTATAATTACCATCAATACTCACTTAAATCTCCCTTAACCCGCTCAAATGATTTATGATCATACACATTGCTATAATTACCATCAATACTCACTTAAATCTCCTCCTATGACTTAACAATTATACCTTCCATACACATTGCTATAATTACCATCAATACTCACTTAAATCTCCTCCTATGACTTAACAATTATACCTTCAAACATTGGTCAATTCAATTGTTTGCATGAATACTAAAATAATTTATAAAACTAGGCTTGTTAGACATAGAAAACTAGAAATGTTACATTATTCTAGTGTTGTTCATTTCATTGTAAGAACATATAAATCCAGAATACTAATTGGCTTAACTGGAGTGATAAATTTAGTTACATCTTGTTACTATTACATGTCGCTATCTTGATGTTGTTGAGTTAAACAGGTGGCAGGAATCATTAAGCCGCTTTAAGCATATCTTTGGTTTGAATGATGAAAGAAGAAAATCAGACGTATCAGTGTATTACCTATCTGGAAATCATGATATTGGCTATTCAAGCATCCATGCAAAATATCCTAAGGTAGTTTTTATGGAACTTTTAGATACGTTCCCTAAGATGTATTTATTTATTTTATATCAAAACAAGGCTGCTACTAATTTTCTAGAAGGATTTAGATGGTTGCATACTTGAATGCAGCAAACTGAATCTAGTTATCAACAAGCATGAATATGTTGTGTCAGTTCTCTCATGGTTGGCATTGAACTTGAGAATGACTGTGTTTGATCAAGTATATTTAGCATTCCTAGAAATCTAATGTAAGATGTTACTCAGTTAATTGGCAATAAGTATTCAAATTGAAGCTACTTTGAGCTTAAGCTGGATGAAACCCTATGAACCATGTGTGTGCTGAAATTGCCCGTCATATGTTGTTTGTGATTGGTTACATAAATTGTAACCAAAGCGTCAGTTTGAGATTGTTGGCTTCAAAGCTGAAGCATGCTCCTACTAAGTAAACTTTTGAGGCACTTACTGTGATCCAGATGAGGACAGGGATAGCTTAAAGGGTTCATCCTCACATTGTATTGAGCAGGTGCCTCAGCAATCTCTATAGGGAGGCATACCGTCTACATAACATTGTGAATTTTGACAGAAATCAGTGGGTCAAATCAAATAAGGTTACTAATGTTTAAGCAGCAGTCCTGCAGTGAAATACATCTATCTTTTAACATTGTTAACCAAAGTTGTCTTTTTTTCTTTTAGTTTATCCATATTCTGGCATGCCTCATGATTGTCAGGTTCACAGTAAACAGTTAAGGTGTAAAATACTGCATGCTTTTTTGTTTTTCTCGTGGTGACTATCAGTCCATATAGACTGTAGATCATTGCATGCACACTATATCTCAGTGGCATCAACACACTTGCATTAGTTCTAATATGGAGTGCGATGAGTATTCTGTTCTTGATGCAGTATATAAATCTTGATTAATTGTTTTTGTATTCTGGCGCTGCTTCATTCTTGAGAAGATTATTGATCTGAAATTTATTTTGTCACAGGTGCTTAGTCGCTATGAGAAAGAATTTGGACCTAGAAACTATCATTTCTCTGCTGGAACAGTGGAGTTTGTTGTCGTCGACGCTCAGACTTTGGATGGTAGGTAGTATAGATATATGAGATATTTACATATAATCTTTTTATCTTTGCACTTTTTGGGGAGAACTCTTGGTAAATCTTTTTGCACATGGAAGGAAAGACTTTTTTGTTAAACTCAAACAAAGAACCAGCAAAACCCAGATAACAATAGGCCCCAGGAGTAAAAGAAATTTTACTGCAGATTGATAACAAAATATTCAGTCTTTAAAAGAATCTACCAATTCAGACCATTTGGAAGTCTAATAAAGATGCTGAAAAGCTTATCGTTATGTAAAGAGAGACAAAATGTATTGATGAGTTAGGGTAACTGTATCTAAATTTAAGATCTTTCTTCATTTGATTATGCAAGCTAAAGGCGAATGAGTATTGAACATGCAGGGTCTACACAAGGAGCAGAAACATCCTTGTCTTGGGAATTTATCAAAAATATTTCAAAAGGTATTTGTGTTTATACCTGAATAAGTATTTTATTATTTCATGAACTTTTCTTACTATCTTGTTGCTCGTTTAGTTAATCCATCAAAACCTAGGGTATTATTGACACATATCCCGCTGTATCATGCTGATGAGACACCTTGTGGCCCTTATCGCTCATCCCCTATTATCAACCAGGTATCCTTTGCTTTTTAGCCATAAAGTTCTCTGTACTGTCATATTTTTCAATTTCTACGAGCTTGATGCTTTTGTTTTCTTTTTAATTATATGTTATTAAACTAGATGGCCGTAACGTTTCATCTGTTCAACATACTGTACAAGTCTCATATGTTTCTTTGCTACATTTTCCTTACGCTAAAATTCAATTAATGAGTTACTGCAATAACTATACATACCCATCAGAAAGGAAGTGATTGATTATTTCCCTTTTTTAAATTCAGAGGGTTTTATATTCTGATCCTGATCATGAGATAAGGTAAGACCTTAATATCTTATTGCTCATATTGCTGCAAAAAGGAGTTAACGTATTATTCTAAGCTGTTTCAGGCTTTCAGTTAATTTGAATCCTTTACTTCATGCAGTTATCAGAATTATCTCAGCAAGGAAACTTCAAGTCGCTTATTGGACTCCATCAGGCCTGTAAATTTCTATCATCTGGTGTAGGGTACTCTTTTATTTTTTTCCCCTGCATATATCTATAAATGCATCACCATTTACGCTTGGATGTGGTGCAGATACTTGTCGTATCTGGTCATGATCATGATCAATGTACTGTGACCCACACAACACCTTCTGGCCCTGTAACAGAGGTAAGATCATACACTTTTTTCTGCTTTTGCTCCATAATTTGCTTCTAATATGAGTTATGCAGCACACTGTAGGGACTGTTAGCTGGCAGCAGGGAAACCTGTATCCATCATTCATGCTCCTTACTGCAACTACTTCTTCAAACACAACCAACTCTAAAGATTTGATTTCTACTCAACAGTGTTTTCTGCCAATGCAAACCCACATCTATATCTGGTACTTATAAGAATTATTTGCTGTTAGACCCTGTGTATTATTAGCCAATTGCGGATAGGCCCCTTGTTGTTCTATTGTTGCCGATAGATGCCCGGAGTGAAATTTTGTGACTCTTGTACCGTCAGAGAGAGAATTTTGTTTCCTGACAAATAGACCTCCTGAGGGTAAAACTGCCAAAAGGTTATTTAACAGGGTGGGGGGTGGGGTGGTCTTTCTGCGATAATAGAACTTCATGAGGTCTATCTCCAGTTGGGCAATACTACGGGTGTATATTCGCAATTAACCCCATTTCTAACCCTTGAATGGTCCTCTCGTGCTACATTCTCAGTTACTTCCTAATGTTTATGCTTTTTATTGGGGTTACTAATGTCAGGTACCTAGGTCAATTTATTATGACTCTTGTTTTGCTCGTCATTTGGCCAACAAATGGTTTTGGATGTTGGAACTGGTTGAGCGAATGCATGAATTCTATCAGATCGATTCGAAGGAACTTGGTAGTTTCATCCAAAGAGAAGGATGACGAGGATTGTGAATATGAGATGATTTGGGATGCAGAGGGATCAGCGCATTTAGTTAGGAGGCCAACACCGAAGGGCCCAATTGCAAAGTCCGATTTAGGACCAACAGGAAGGTGTGTTCTTAATTATATTCAATAGGGTTAATTGAGGATAGACCCCCTGTACTTCTATTGTTGCAGATAGACCCCTTGAGTGTAATTTTTATTTACTCTTTTACCCTTGGGATGTCCATCTGTTAAAAAAGCAGGTAAAAGAGTTAAAAAATTTCAATCAGGGGGTCTCGGCAGTTAACCCATATCCAATAACCTATAGATAGCGACTTTTTCATATGTCAAGCTGCTCTACCTAGGTTATTCTTCATATGGTCATGAATTCATATGCTGATTGAGAGTAAACACTTGTCATTATTATTATTTCTTTCTTTATAGGGGTACTGTCACCATTAGGCAAACAGCAAAGAAAACGGTTGTTGAGGAACCAGAATCATCGGTTTCTTTGGATATCAACACTGCCAAAGTTCCTCGGTTAAACAAATCAAAGGCAAGGAGATTTATTGGAAGACTGATTAGGGTATTTCAGTTGCTCACCGTGATTGCTGCTGTAAATGTTCCTCTTTATATGATGATGTTGTTCAAGGATTGGATTGACCGATAATGGAGAGCCAGGACAAATTGTGGCTTGAAACGAGACGATGAGAATATTTGTTCATAATTATTGTGCACTGTAGTTTGTTTCTGATTTTTTTTATTGCATTGAATCAATGATGTTCATGGGAGACTAAAGTGAGGGTGTCACAATCACCCCATCTTACAAAGACGACGTACTTGTTGTCATGACATGATAATTGGCACATCCCGGTGTCGTTTCCAGGCGATGTGGACTCTAGAGGTGGCTCCTATAGGCTCTAAAGGTGACTCCCATCGTATCCATGCGGTGTAGCACTTAGCTCCATATTTTCGACTGACTAACTGCTCTGATATCATTTATCACGGCTCAAGCCCATGGGCCTGTTGGCGCGTGCAAGCCGTGAGTCCACGGGAGAGCAACTCGTGGGTTGGCTAAATTCACAGCCAAATTGTTATCACTAGTTGTTCTTGGACCTTAGGCTTCTCTGTTTAAGTCACTAACATTTCTTCACACTAATTCATGTGGGACTAACGTGGGGGTGTCACATTACCTACGCCTTCTTTACCCTCCAATCATTAAAACTCAATATCATTCTCCTCTTCCTTTCTCAGATCTAATATCAAACGTTCTACTTGAAGCATTAGGAGGGAGTGAAGGAGAGGGGAGAGAGAGAGAGGAAAAAAAAGAGAAATGAAGAGAAAGAGGGCAAAGAAGAGAGAAACTAAAGAAGTTAAGAAGATGTGAGCTTAAAGAAAGAGGGAAAGAAGGAAGTAATAGGAAGGATATGGGAAAAGAGGGAGAAAGAGAGAGAGAGAGAGAGAGGAGGGAAGGATGAGGATCGGATGAGAAAAGAATGGATAAGACGGTGGGAAGGAAGAGGGAGGAGATGGTTGGGGTTTGCGGGGTAGATCCAAAAATATGAGAAAGTTAGAAATTGAGGGGGTAAATCCGAAAATATGGGAGATTAAAGGGTCTATATACAAAATATACTCAATATTTCCCTTAAAAATTATCTTTGACACCGAAAAAACCTATTTGTCATTGTATTTATCACCTTTTAGACTAAACCGTCGTCGGCGTTACTTTTTAGACTAAACTTAAAAATGGGTGCCACTTTTAAGGCTAAATCGGTATTTTAGCCTTACTTTAGATATTCGGAGTGGAGGCAGTGAGAGAGAGAGCAACATATTTGGGGAGGAACAGTGTAAGGGTAAAGATGAGATTTTCATATTTTCCCCAATGTCTTGGCATAGTGTAAATGGGCTAAATCACAAATGTTACATGTATTTGGGGCTTCCACATATTAGAACTAATACAGGGGGTTTCTGACTTGAGCTTTGTTTTTTTGGGAATGTTACAATTTTTCCATTAATAAATGTAATAAGGGTCTGTTTGGTTATTTCCTAAAAAACCAAAAAATAGAAATAAAAACCAAGAAATCTTAAAAAGTACAAGTTCACACATTTTCATCCCTAAAACTCACCAACAACATCTAATAAAATATTATTTTTATCCAACAACTCATCCACCACATCTAATAAAATATTATTTTCATCCACAACATCACTCTACTCATCTCATCTCATATTTAAAAATCACTCACATCATCCAATAAGATTGTGACAACTCACCTCATCTAATTAATATTTCATTTCTTTGTTTTCCTCCCCAAAAGCTAGGAAAACAATTTCCTTAAATGTGGGTCACATCATCCAATAATATAATGACAACTCATCTCATCTCATCTATTTTCTTATTTTTAAGAAATAACCAAACAAAAGAACACAACCTAATACAAGAAATATGTTTCTTATAATTCATTTTCTTATTTTTTCCGCCAACCAAACAACATCAAAACAAGTTTTCTTAAAAAATCACTCACATCATCCTATAATAAGGTGACAACTCATCTCATCTCATCTCCATTTCTTTGATTTCCTTCTTTTTTAGCCAACCAAACAATCCCAAAACCTATTTTTCTTAGAAATAGGTTTCCTTTTCTTTGATTTTCCTCTTTTTTTAGGCAAACAAACAGCCCCTAAATAGATTTCTCCATGACTATAGTATCCCATGATAAATAGTGCTCTTTTAAATATATATAAATATCTATTATTATCGTCCCCATCTCCCACAAACTTAAAGTCAGTCTGTCATATTTCCCTTGAATTTACTTTATTATTATATCTTCTCGACTCTATTTTCAACACTGTTCCCCTTTTCTTCGCTCCGTCCCATTCCCTTGTGCTGTTTCCGATCGAGACAGAGCTTAATCAGAATCAGAGAGAATCGACCGATTGATCGATCTCGATCAGGATTAGGGCCATGGAGACTCCTCCAGTGTTCCAAGAGGCGCCGAGATGCGACGTCTGCAGTTGCACTTTCAGCGCTTTCAGGCGTCGGGTACATCTCTCTTTTTACCCTAAATTAGCTCAAATTATTTTCATAATCGAAGAACAAAGCTACCTGTTTGTGGATCCAGACAGTTTCATTTACTAGATCTGCGAAAAAAAGGTGCAATCTTTTTGGTTTCTGCGTGTCCCATAGTTTAAATTTTGGATTTTGTCTTCTTTGATCAATGAAAGGACCCAAATTGACAGATTGCTCGACCGCAGAGAGCCCTGCAGCGCTACAGAAACTCGCAAACGGAAACAATTGATTTTAAGTAGTTGAAAGGTCTGCAGATTAGGATGAATTCCTTGTAAATGGAACGATTTTATCTGTTTAGTCTTCGAACTTGGAAATTAATGGGAAAACAAGATATCTAGTGTGATCCGGTTTGTGGTTAAAACTGGATAGGTACCTTATAGAACTTGTTTATGACTGAAATTCGAGAAATAATGCCCCTTCTGCTATTAGATGCATAAATAATGTGCCTTTGGTTCTGTTCCACTATCCACATAACCATTATGTTAGTCGAGGATTCTCTTTGGTGCTCAACTCAACATCTTATACCAGTAAGCTTATATTGGTCTTGATTTCTGATGTCTGAGGTCAATATCAGATGCTGAAACAGTAGCTAGCACAACTTTTGTTGCTTATGTTGGTGAGCACGATGCAGCTGAGTGCGAAACCTTTGTCTTCTTGATTCACGCAGAGAAAGGCATGGATAATCATTGCTTTTCTGTATTTAGGGACATCGGACCATTTAACTAAGCTGTTGGTTAGATCTTTCCACAGTAAATACTGTTTGCATCTCCGTTTTCTCTCTCCATATTGTTTTATTTTTCCAACAAATGGATGTTCCTATGCCTAGGCATGCACTTTCGGAGGCAATGTTCTGTTGCCAAAACTATGGAAGCAAGCAACTCCAACTATGTTTTACTGTATTTTACCGGATAGCATTAGAAGGGTCCAGTTGATGCCTTAACCAGGATCAGGCTTTTGAGCATCTCCAAACGCTTTAGACTTGTTTAAAAAAAATATGCATTAAGACCTATTTGTTATCTTTCTTCAGCATTGTTTAATCTTCAATAAGAGAGAGCTATAAGTTTTATCAAATTGGAGAGTAAATTTTTTGTTGTATTGATCTTGTAATACAATACAGTATATAGACTATACAAGGGCTCAAGTGGGTCAATAGTGTGCCTATACACCCATACACATATATACTATCTTAACACCCCCCTCAAACTTACGGTGGATCAAACACCGAAAGTTTGGACAAGAAATATTGTAGCTGAGTAGTAGTTTGTGCCTTAGTGAACATTGTCTCCGAGCTGATCTTTGGAAGGTATGTAAAGAAGAGAGATACTATGAGTACTATAATCTTGCCGAACAATATGTTAGTCCACTTCAATGTATTTAGTATGCTCATGAAACACTGGATTGCAAGCAATTTGAATAGCACTTGTATTGTCACAATAAAGAGGAATGGGAGAAGGAACAAAAACACTGAGATCCAGAAGAAGTTGGCTGAGCCAATGAATCTCAAGAGTATTATCAGCCATAGCACGATATTCTGCTTCAGTGCTAGATCGTGAAACAGTGTTTGGCATTTGGTATGCTAAGAAAGAAGAGATGAACTAAAAAAGATACAATAGTCAGTAGTTGATCATCTAGTCATCAACCCAACCAGCTCAGTGTATGCCTGTAGCATTAAGGAAGAATCAGAGGGAAATAATAAAGATCGAGTGATAGTACCTTGAAGGTAGAGAAGAAGTCGGATCATTGCAGCATAGTGAACAGTTATCGGTGTGGTCATAAACTGACTAAGAATGTGTACAATATAAGATATATCCGAACAAGTAGCAGACAAATAGATCGAGGCACCCACACGTTCATGATATCGAGTGAGGTTTGGTAAAAGATCACTATTAGATTGACGAAACTTTAAATAAAACTCCATGGGTTGTAACAGAAATAGATGCAACAAGCAACGCGTTTGCGATAGTAGCGCGCTCAATCATATCTGAAATATACTTTTGTTAAGACAGAATATAGCCACGAGGAGAGTATGCAACCTCAATCCTAAGAAAGTAGCGTAAACGCCCAAGATCCTTAATCTCAAACTGACTTTGAAGATGTCGCTTGAGATTTTGGATAGTAGAAATATTATCCCAGTAATAATCATATCATCAACATACAAGAGAAGAATGACCTGACCTTGAGACGAAGTATGGTAAAACATTGTATAATCCGCTGAGCTCTCCGTAATTCCAATGGAGAGACTAGATTACTAAAAGCACTCAAATCAAGCTCTAGGGGCTTGTTTGAGGCCGTAGAGAGCACGTAGAAGATGACACAAGAGGGAGGAGCATCAACCCCGGATGGTGGTTGCATGTAAACGGTCTCAATAAGTTCACCATTGAGAAATACATTCTTCACATCCATTTGATGTAAATCCCAGCTTCTAGTAGCCACAACAGCAATAAGTATAAAATAGATGTGATTTTGGCTAGTGGGGCAACAATCTCCTCATAATCAATACAATACCGGGCAACAAGACGTGCTTTGTGACGCTCAACAGAACCGTCTGATTTGTTTTGATTTTGAATATCCACTAACAACTGATTGGTCTGGTATCATGAGACAGAGGAACAAGATTCAAAGTATGGTTACGCTGAAGGGCATGTAGTTCTTCTTGTATAGCTTGTTGCCATTTCGGATATTTAACTGCCTCAGAATAAGATCATGGTTCCTGTAAAGAATGTATAGCATTAAGAAAGGATACAAATAAGGTGAATAAAAATTGGTTAAACAAGAGTATCTCGGAGGTGGGTGGTGGTTTTGAGGAGGATTGCGTTGTGGTGGGGGTGAGAGTGGCGGTAGTGGTGGTAGTATTGTTGTTGTTTGCAGTACAACAGTCGGCGAATCGAAAGTAGGACTCTAGGAGTATTCATGTCCGTAGTATCAGTTGAATTCACTTCATGAAGGGGTGTAAGTGACTTAGGAGATGAGGATGGAACAAGAGTGTACAATGGTATTGGCAATGTCGATGTGGATGTAGATGAGTTAAGAAAAGATAAATCCAACTCGTTGTTTGATGAGTAGCAGTACAAGTTCTCAAAAAAAAAAGACGTGACGGGAGATTGAATTCTTCTACTATTGGGATCATAAGATCTATACCTTTTGTGACATAAACTATATCCTAACAAGATGCATCGAACGAAGCGAGGTGACAACTTATCTTGTTCATTTTACGGAAGGACAAAACAAACATAGAGAAAAACTTGTATCTTGGAATATTAAACTGAGTTTTGTGTAGTCGAGAGTATAGACATGTGTCTGTGAATAAGGATGAAGGATGATAGGTTAATATTGATCAACAAGATAGCGTTTAGAAGGGCTTCAGCCCAAAAAGATTAAGGAACATGTGCAGTGAGTATAAGAGCACGTGTTGTTTCAAGAATATGACGATGTTTGCACTCAGTAACACCATTTTGTTCTGTCGTGTGAGGACAAGATTGCTGGGCAATAGTTCCATGTGAATTAAGGAGATTTTTCATAGATGAGGAAACATACTCGCATGCATTATCAGATCGAAAGACTTTAATTCTCTTATTAAATTGAGTGTAAATCATATTAGTAAAGTCTTTGTATATATCAAAAAATTATGCACGTAATTTCAAGAGATAAACCCAAGTATATCTAGAAAAATCATCAATAAAGCTCACATAATATATGTAACCAGACATGGATTCAAGGGGGCAGGACCCAAGTATCAGAGTGTGCTAAATCAAATGGTTTAATAGAAATATTGTCATTAGTCACAAAAGGTAAAGCAGACTGTTTTGCAATACGACAATCACTGTAATTATTTTGTGCGTGGAATGAAAAGATCCTAAGACTCCTGACTTGACTAAAGTTTTCAGATGATATATTGAGAGATGTCCTAACTGATGATGTCAGAGAGCAGAGATAGAGTAATTGGACCTAATAGTTGAGAGGAGTGTGAAGCTGGTCCAAAGGATACGATCCGTCCACTCTATGACATGTCCTAATCTGCTGGCCGTTGCGAGAATCCTGCACAACACATGATTTTAAATCAAATAAAATAATACATCTAGAATTAGGTAATTGGCTAATAGAAATGAGATTCATAGAGTTTAGGAACACATAAAACATATATATAGTAAGGTAAGAGAAGATGATGTAATGTCACCCCACTGAGTTACTGCAAGTTACTGCAAGAGGAGAATTGTTAGCGGTATGTATGAATGAAGATGTAATACGAGTGCAGTTTTGAATTATAGAATGATGAGGGGTCATGTATTGTGAGACACTTGAATTAAATATCCAAGGAGTTGAGTTACTAGAAGTAGCAGTAAGAGCAACAATGTTAGAACTCGAATGAGTTTCAGTCATACCAAGATTCTACACAACAAGACTGGCAACAACAGACATCTGAGCCATGGAAAGAGAGCTGGAAGCAATAGTATTCTAAGAATCAACTATACTTTGAGGACGATATGGAGCCTTCATAGGATAATTTCTCAGCCAGTGTCCCCAAAGCTTACAATTGGGACGTGGACCCGGAGGTGGAGATGGGCAATCTCGCATCTAGTGTCCCGTCCCTCAAGCTTGCAGTGGCGACAAACTCCAGAAGAAGTACCCTGAAGAAGTACCCTGCTGAAGTCGCTGAGTATGAAAATTATCACGATCCTTTCGATACTGTCCCTGGTTTGAGTTCTAAACTCGAGATTGGATAGCAAGTACCGTAGCGGTAGGAGAGGGAGTAGCTTTCAGTAGACGAAGACGCGCCTCCTTAGAAATAAATTTTGCAATAGCATCTATGAGTCGCGAAAGTGGAGATCTATGAAGTATATGAGCCCTCAGTGACTCAAATTTAGGATGCAATCGCGTCACAAAGTGATATAGATGTTGACGATTATGCTAAGCCGCATAATCTCAAGTAAAGTTAGGTAATAACACTGGAACAATCACCTCCAACAGTTTGAGTTATTCCTAATAGTTAGAAAGAAAGAGAATAGAACTCCTAAATAGGCCGATCATCCTGGAGAACTGGTTGTAATTGATATTCTCTGGCAGCTCCAACTTGCAGGAACATGCGAGATAGTGTGGTCCACTGTTTGCGTGAAGTAGAGAGACTATTAATAGATAGTCGAATAGTACCATATACGAATTGCATAATATATGTCATAATCTGCTGATCCGTATGGTTTCACTGCTGATATGTAGGCTCGTTAGTAGCATTAGTAGGCCCATATTTAATAACTGAATCAGTTGAAGAACTCAATCCAGATGATGCAATAATCAGAGAGGCCTAGTGAGAACATGAAAGAGAACCATCAGTATATCCCCATAACGCAAAAGCATGGAGATTATACTGAATGGTTAATGCTCATGTCGTGTAATTTT